CTTATTTTCAATAAGCAATCCTGAAAAATATTTGGGGGTGCTTAACTTTTTTCCAGGTGTATATTTTTGTGTATATATATTTATATTTAATATATATTAAAGTTTCATGAACATTTAAGTTTAATGTGTGTTTTTTTTTCTTCCATTAAATTGTCTTTACTGTTCTAGATGCAAAAGTTGAAGATTATCTATTTGAAAAACTTGAGAGGAAGCGGGACAGACACACTAATTTTGAGGCATTGGGACAAGACATGATTGATGCTGGTTTAGATTTTGGTCCAGGAACTGCATATGGTAAAAACATGTAATATCTTCATGTCTTGGCATTCTCTGGTGGTGTATGATTTTCTTTTAATCTTAGAATTATACATTTTTATAAACTTTTTATGCACCAACATGTTTGTAGGTCCATGACTTTATTACTAACAGAGTTTCTAATAAAATAGGAGCCACAAAAAAATTTAAAGACAAAAACTGTCAAGATTGCTATTACTCACACTAATTAGTGCTATGGTTTCCCATGTATTTTACATAAAAGTGAATGGTTTCACCTAATGTTTGGTCAGTTCCTTACACTGTATTCAATATGATGCTGTGTGGACCACATCACTTGTGAATGACATGTAAACTGGTTGGTAATGTTAGGGTTAATAAGCATTAAAATGTAGCTTTGAGAAATAATAAATGTTTATAATATAATGAGTAAATTTATTTTTATATTCTATATTTTTCTATTTAAAAAAATATGAAAGGTATGATTTATTTCACATTATTTTCTAAAGAATTTATATATCAATATATAGGTGGAAATAAACTATGGGAAAAATATCATAAAATATTTATGAAATTAACTTTCTGTTATATAATGATATGTATAGTAGCTTCTTTTTACAAGTTCTGAAAAATAGATAAATCTTTGTTGTGATTTATAATTCCTTCATTGCTTTTGTAGAATAGAAGCACTGCATGTTCTTATGCTTCCATATACCATACACATAGCTCTTTATAGATGTTCTAACCTTCTAGATCTAACTTAAGTATATTTTCTCCAAATTATTGTGTATTGGCTTTCTATTGATGTACCAACCTTTGAATTATGTCACAGCCATAACTTTGTCAGTGTACAAACCTTTTGAATAAAACATAGGGATATTTAGTCCTTTACTGCTGTGTTTAAATTTAATTAACAACATTCTCGGTAAACAGAAGCATCTCTTTAATTTTATTTGAAATATGCAGCAGTTATGGTTATCTACATGAGTATTATTCTTTTCCATAGAACACATGGCATATTTATATTATTCTATGAAGAGTAATTGTGACTACTACTGTATGTGTGCCAAACCTCGGAATAACACAGTTATGTTATTTTTTCCTTCTATGAACTATGTCCAGGTATACATGTTATTTTAGAATTTTTGAACAAATTGTAATCTTTAATTAAGTAAATCAATAGCACTGGTATATCATATATGTATATATAGCTACAAGTACTACAGTATTTGTTTGTTTTATATGCTGTGCTTAAATATGAAAACCACAATTGTAGGGTTTTTTTTTTTATTGGTGATGAAGAGTGTGCTCATTTATGTAATGGCTGAACTGTTATAAAAAAAAATGCTTATTCTTGAACACACAAATTTGAATTGTTTAGTAGTATGGTCTAAAATTATGTAGATCTGAATGCTTTCAGTAATATATATATGTAAAATCGTTTGTCACTTTGGCTATGAAGCAGTAGAAGATTCAATTCTGAAAGCTGTTTTTTGCCTATACATAGTGTAGTAATAGTGTTTTATTGACATGTCAATAAACTTCTTTAGGTAGCACTTTAATAAAAGTAGGACAAGCCCAACAAAAACTAGGAAAAGCAGAGAAGGAGTTTGTTCGATCAGCCGGCACCAGTTTTATTCAACCTTTACGAAAGTTTTTAGAAGGTGATATGAAAACACTCCAAGTAAGTGACATTTATTACTATATTTGAGAACATGAATTTACTGATACAGACTTAAACTTACCCAGAAAGGAAAACTGGAGTATAAATAAAATCATTTTAGAGCTTTCTTATACATGTGAAAGATAGATAAAAGTTCTGTTAACAAAAGTGTTCCATTACTAGAAAGATTAAACAGTTGAATTCAGTGGATTTAAACAGTGTTTCCTTTTGAATTCCAAGTCACTTATTTACTTTTAATTTTATTTTGTAACCATACGTTTGGTTTATTTTTTATTGTGAATGAGTTGTAAATCATTATGTGTTTTTATTTCTAATACAATATCTTACCTCTTCTCATAAAATAGCTTTTCTCGATTAGTACTGTCTTCTATCAGCACAAATTTTCAATGCTTGCCACTAGCGACACAACTGCCGTCTCCACATTTGCACTCGTTAATCACTTCTTGATTGGCAGTAGTACTGTACAGATGTGCTTGTTTTTGCTCGCAAATTTGTCGATGTTTTCCTTTATACTACAGTCTTAGTTTTTCTTTACTATGTTTTTGTTATTTCTTTAGTTACATGGACCTTTTTCTTAGTGTATTGTGGCTCCCACTCTGTGGCAAGTGTTGCTTGACCAAGTACACTTTTTTTTGAAAATCCACACTGTCCATCCTTTAACCAATTATGTTGTAGTTCTCCCTACCGCAGACCTGATGTATAATTCCAGATGCTGCCAGGTGTTGGTTGTGTGTTTCCATTCACTTGTCATCGATGCTGAAATAATTACGTTGCAGGATTAGGTTAAGCACACTGTTGAGATGAGATGTTCCGTAGGACTGCTAGTAGTTCTGTCTAGTGGTCTTTTGCTTCATAAATATGTTTAACCCAAACTGTATAGTCATGGACACACATGAGTAAAACAGACAGGGATTGCTGCCCATCTCTGATGTTCCGTAACATTGAGAGTCTTCCTACTGTGGACCTAGTGTGCAATTCCAGATGCCGCTCGGAGTGTTAGTTGATTGACTTCGTCCACATGGTAGCTCTGCTTTTCAAAATAGGCTATTGCGATCACCCATTGCACTGTCTCTGGTGATGTGGTTCTCCG